AGGGAAGAGCCAGGCAATAGATCGAGTCTCCGCTTAGACCAGTGAAACAAATTCTGTAACAGCCACCTTGCTCTGGAACAGTCTGAAAAAATATTTCGTTCCCAAAGAGCAAAGACATTTCTCTCGCCTTATACAGGCATTAGTGTTTTTCTGTTTGGCCTTTTTCTAAAATATTACCACCCAAAAGTAAAATTCTGCTCAATGCAATATTGTCTGATGGTACCCATTACGTTCTCGACTCATTCTGCAACTTAAAAGACATTCTCATGCTTTTCGCTGGCACTCAAAAAGAAGGAGAAAAAAAAAAAAAAAGACAAATCCCAGTTTTGCAAACAGGGATTTCGCAAAGTTGCACACACATACACAAGAATCTTCATTTAAAACAAGCCGTAAGTTAGCTTGATTACAGGGAAATATTTGCTTCTTTCATGACTTCAGAATGGAAGTGGTACCATTAAAATGCACACAGAGTTGTAGCTAACCTGGCATTTTCTTTCGCTGTGGTTTCACAACAAAACGACAAGAATTCACTGGAGCAGCTTCGTGCCATCTCTTTTGTTCTGGACGACACAACCAGACTTCAAGTCTGAAAATTCTCCGCTAATTATACTTGGAATTAACAGTAAACATCTTTTTATCCAGCGCCTTTAATTTGCTCATTTCACAAGCCTTCATCAACTTCCATCTTCCCATTGCTTTGGCAAAACCCGACAGTTTCTGGTTTGCATCCACAAATGGTTCTGGACAAGAGCACAAGTGTTCTGAACCGGGGACCCAGCGTGCTGCGCGTACCACCCCCTGCCCCGTGTCAGAGGCAAAGCAGAAGGGAAGAAAAACTGCACGTAATCAGTGTACTTGAGAGGTTTGAAAACAGATCTTTAAAGCAGCTTCTACTTGACCAAATAGTTTTTGTGTGACTACAGCGGCAGAGATACTCGCAAGCAACATCTTACCTGTGCAAAGATGTATTCTAAGGAACCTGCATCTAGTATGGGGGTTCCTTCTGGTCCCGTCTTCTTCTCGTACGAGTTCTTTGGCTTCCTCGGGGTATGTCTCCACACTGAGGGTTCGTTTTCACTCGTCCCATGCCAGTTTGTAAAGTAGTATCTTGTAAGAGAAGAGGAATAAACTTTAAAAACTTCTGAGGGAAGCCTCTGTTAGGCACGCATTTAAAACTTCTGAAAGCAAATCAGTCACAAACCCGTCAATTTTCTGCCCTGGGGTTGCAACCTAAGTCACCCCATTTCTGAACCCTGGGCAAGTGGGGGAAAATTCCGTTATCAAGGCAAAGATCTTCAGCATCTCCACCCAACAGCATCTCACTCTTAACTCAGGATACCACGTCCGCCTGGCTGCCGCATCCCTGCGCACCCCACCAAACAAGAAGCCACCGCTCCAGATGACAATTATGCTGCCATTGCCTCTCGCATCACTTGAGCTGGCGCCGAGGTAAAAGGAATCATCTGGAGGGCTCACATGACTTCAGCCTTCCTCCTCCTCCTCCTCCACAGGCACCAAAGCGATGCACAGGGCAGAACTGCCAGGAGGAGCCCGTCCCAGGGCTGGAGCGGGACTGGAATTCATGCTTCCCTCTGGTTTTGCATGGAGCTGGTGAAAAAGGCACTCAATTCAAATCATCTGGTTTCAAAGGGACACAGTCGATGGTCTGTGTAGACTGCAAAGGAGCTTTTTACTCACATCTGTACCCGAGACTGTGTAACTGAAAACCTGCGGAAGGAGTTGGCATCTGCTGAAAAATAAATGGAAGGCTGGAGTTCCAGCCTCTGTTAGCACCTTTGGAGAAACCTTTGCCTAAATTGTTCCAGAAATTCGTGTTTATCTGTGTTCTGGTAACATTGTAAAGCAAGTAAAGTTTGGTTAAACCTGGTTTGAATCAATGTGCCTTCTGCAAAGGTTCACGCCTTGCACATGATCACTAACTACTTGTAATTAAAAGGTTATAGAGGAGCAGATTTACCCAATTCCTAAATAAGAACGATTTCTATGAGAATATGCCAGTCTAATTCCAGCAGAGCATTCAGTACCAGCAAGCACCAGCAAGAGCAAACCACACTGAATTACTGCACTCTGTGTGTGTGTGTATATATATATATATATACACACACATTACTGCATTAATTTAAAGGGAGTTGTGAAATCAATGCTTAGGAACACGGTGTAGGATAATCCACGTTCAAACATGCGTGTTTTTAAGTACATGACCATGTCTTTGTGATCTGTCTCTTAGCAGAATGAGGGTTCATGGATTAAGCCCCAATTTTAGGTCGAGGCTGGTGTGTGCCAGCCTCAGTGCAGAGTCAGGATCTTAAAGAGCAAACCAAAATTAGGACTTGTAGCCCAGTCCCACATGTTTTAACGGCACGTGTTACCTGCACAGTAAGCTGTTCGTTCAAACGAAGAATTATGTATCGAATCACTCTGTAAGAGGTAAGTTTCCACACTGTGTTTTTGTCCATCCTCTCTTTTTGTTAAGTCTTTTTACGTCTCTGGAATGCATCTATCTATAGCATGAGTAGGAACACCAGCACACAACTATGCCAAAAAACTCCTGACAAGTACTGTAAGATAATGCAGAACTCCGTAAAAAAGCAGAGCAAAGCAAATCCTTCTGCCTCCAGGAAATTACTTTGTTGCCTGTGCTCCATTGTAAGATGAGTGATAATTAGTAACTCCCAAGTCTTTTGGTGTTTCCTGAAAATAATTATGGGCAAGGTATTGTGTATTGTTTGTAATTGAAAGGAGAATCTGTTCCTTTCCCTATTAAGACAACACTTACAAGCTACAATAAAAACGAGAGACCCATTGTTTGAGGAATCGTATAAATAAAGGAGGAGTCTCCGCTTAGAAGAGACGATTGGTTTCTGTAGAGGGGGAGACAAGATTATTATTATTCGACTTTCACAAGTACAAGCTTTCCAATTCAGAAGTCCTGTAAATGAGCTGGGAAGGAGCACCTGTAGTGGCTCCAATAGTCCTTTCCAGAGTTTCCCAAAATAGGTGTATCGGGTCCCTTCTCCACATCGCTACCTCTGGCTTAAACGGCAGCCAGCAGCAGAACAGTTAAACTCCTCCTCCATCAGCTGGTGTGCTAATTACTCCAGGATATTGCAAAATATTGTGGTTTCTTATGTTGTAGACTTTTTTTTTCCCCAAAACTTGAGGCAAGTGAAAGAAATACAGCGTTAGTTAAAAGGCTTCCTGTGAAAAGCAAGTCCTTTTTAAAATATTACCAATAGTATAGCAGCTGGCACAGATGTGATGGGAGAAGAGGATGGTACATCCACACAATCAGAAATCAGATCTGAAGATCGCAGCAGCGGAAGGAAAATCAAACACCTAAAAATATTTCAAACTACTCACACACCTTCGTTTTATATACAATTTCGACAGGACACAACTAAATCAAATCTAATTTCAGAAATGAGGTTGTTCACATCAAAATGATTTGGTCTCTAAATGACACAGTCTAATATGCCGCACTATTAAGCAAGCCCAGACCATTCTCCTTTTTCAAGAGGAATTCGGCCTCTTGCAGGGCTCAGAAGAAACAATACTCATTCAGAGAACAGTTTCACAATCCTGTATTGCTTGTAATTTTTCAGTGCTCTGCTCTGCTCTCAGATCAGATGCCCAAGTCAAGACACACGAGAGGTCAGGAATGAAAGAAAGGAAAATACCACTTCAGCAATCCACTGCAGCGTTCAGAGGGAGATGGGAATCTTTTGATTTTAGCACTTAACTCACAGAACTACTTCTTAAATGCACATGAAATTATTTTAAACACGTATTATTGGCTTCAAGTTTGCGTGGAATACAGCTGAGGAAAGAGATGCCCCGGCTAAACATCAAATCCCAACCCCAAAGCTAAAAAAAAATAAACCACCGGAGCTTTTCAATACAGGAAGCAGGGCATTTTCCAAAGCTTCGTTCCACAAAAAAGGGCAGAACAGAAAGATTTCCAGAAAAAAATAAAGCTCAATGGAGATTAGTTTTGCCCATATACCTAAAATTTGATCACAGTTACAGAGAGCCAAAGAAGGTTTCGAAGTGGAAGCCATGAAAACAGGAAAGGCAGAGTACTCGGAGAGCTCTTGTTGTCCACCCAAAGCAAAAAACCATAAAACACCAAACAGAGTTGAAACTAGTTTTTTAAGAATTAACTTAAAAACAACATTGTGCTCCTAATTGGAGGATTAAATTCCCACAGCCACACTTTTAAAACACCACCACCTTTTACTGCAAAAAACAGACCACATCAAAGAATTGCAGTATCACAGGGAAACGCCCCACACTGACATTACACCAAGAAATTTTTTTTTATTATCCAGTATACGGTTAATCCAACTCTTAAAGCAAGGAAGGGCACTTAATGCTCCTTAAGAGCCATTAGAATCCTGCAAGCTTCTTTTAAGAAGTCACTCAACTCCATTACTGCATGGGGTTTAATTGCCAAATTAATCACAGCTGTTTAAATCTGCGATTAGCCAAGGTTAAGTCATTAGTACTACTAACGGACTGTGTTAAAGAAAAAATAAAAGACCACAATATCCACTTCTAAAAATAAATATCGGTATTATATTTACTGGAAAAGCAAAGACCTTTTTGTTGACTGCCAATGGTTCGGTCTTGTAGCACTTCACCCAAAAACAAGGACAATTCTAGTCTGGCATGGGTGGCAGCAGAATCAAAACAAAGATGAGATTTTTCAGAGCTCTCTATCTGCACAAGCAAAGCCGTTGTTAGTCTCTAACAAGCCCAGAAAACAGTTTTGATGCACAACCTGACGTTTATACATAAACCAGTTCTCTCCATCAGCACATCCAAGTAATAGTCATGTTGGCTAAATAGAGATTATCAGGAAAAAAGATGGGAAAATGTGTAAAGCTAGATTACCACTTGGTTTTTATCCATGGCCAAAACTGACCGTGTATGTGAGTATCACATTTTAAGGCAAAGAGGGAATATTACAGAATCACAGAATGTTGGGGGTTGGA